TGGATTGGGTTTATCAAATCGACCTGGATCCTTTTTGGATCCCATAAAGAAGAGGGTCTTTACAGACCTTCCTAAAATTCCCTTTACACTGCTTCCAAGGTGACTTTATGAATGGAAAAGCCTGTCAGCTCTCTCGTCTTAAATTCCCTGTATCGTTTCTCCTTCTGTAGTGAAGAAGACCCAGGCAACTTTCAACTGTATCCTCATCCACTTGACAAAGACAAAGATACCTGAATTCCACCCTCTAATCACGCAAACCACATGCTCTGGGTGATCCTCTTAGTCTTGCCAGACTTCCCTGTCTGCATTCAGGTGTCCACCTTTGCCTGGACCTAAGGTAGCCCTTCATCTGCCTTTATCTACTAAGCCATCACCTCCTCTGAGAAGCACGCCCGCAAAGCCTGACTTTCACCTCATCATGATTTCTAGCATTAATTCCCCATTTTCTTCATCTTGAGAAATTATTATTTATAAATTAATACAGTCAATAATAATCTACTAATCCTATGTTGCCAATTCTTGCTAAGAGAAAATAAAACAACTGAAGGAATGGTCATCACTATCATTTTATAGCTTTAAGTGTTCTGTGAGCCTTCAAAACTTCTCAGTCATGTCTCTAGTCAGCAATATTTGACATTACCTTTACTGATGGTTACAAATTTTTGTTCTTTTCTTATTTCTCCACATATCTATCTCCCCTCCAATATGTAAACTCCTTGAAGGTAGAGACTAGTATTGTCATCTTTGAAATCCAGGATCTTAAACATATAGGTATACAAAAATATTGTTAATATCCTCTGGGATGTGCTGGTCCTTTGGGAAGGACCACATAGATGTGTCAGAGCTTAGACACAGGGAGCCCCTGATAGTGAGGGTGCAGAATGCAGGGCACTCAGGCATGTGGCACAGGGCGTGGCTTTTACAATTAGCAGAAGCTACAACAAGGAGCAACTTCCTCTACTTCAAATCAACATACATGAAATAATGACCCCAGACTTTCTTCCCTTATCACGTATGTAGCTCACAAAGTTTCATTCATTTTCCTTCTCTTTCATAAATTTGTATTAAGACTCTGTTTTGCACTCATGTTTCCATATTTGTGAGCCTTCAAAGAGGAGGACTAGGTTCTGAGATCTGAAATGATAGTTACAGTCACAGTAGCTCTGTGGAGGTGGTAGTTTCAGAGGGAAACTGCAGTGGATTCATGACCGAACACATTTAATGTATTTTCCCTTTTCTCTCTCCCTCCGTAATGATGAGGTAAGAGTGGAGATTGAAAGCACAATGATTCCATCATCTGAAAAGAGATGGGAAGAAATAAGAAGGGTTTCCTATTTTGGTTAATGATATTCAGAAAGATGAATTCACAGCTATTATATTAAAACATAATGTGTATGTAGCTCACCATAGATTGCACAGGCTTTTTACAAATTATATCTGCAGTTAATGACAGCACTGCTGTGAGGTGTTTATTCTTCTTTACAGACAAGGGAAACTAAGTCTTCCAGAGCTGAAATGATTTATCCCAGGTTACTCTACTACTGATTTGACTTTCTTCAGATTATCTAAATTGTTATTTTAAAGATAAAATATATATAAAATATATATATATATTATATATGTAAAAATATATATATAAAATGTAAATGTTATATAAAAAATATATATAAAAAGATAAAGCTTGGTGCAGAAAAAAAAGAGCTAATTTACATATGGCATGGAAAATTCAAGGGCTTACATAGGGGAAATTTGTAAACAGATTTAAAAAGATTTAGGGAAAATTTAGAGGTAATTGATCAATTTTTATTGTAGGAAAATAATATTCTAAGAAGAGCATTTCTAATTATATTACAACCGGCATTAAGGAAGCTACAGAACTATTCAGTATATACAATTTTCTTAAATTTTGTCTTGAACATGTAATAGGGTCCTGAATGGCCCTTCTGGTGACAGGGTGATTCCTATGTTCACATTTAACCCCACTGACAAAGCACAGATTTCAAGAGATGGCGAGTAAGGTGTTGGTATCTCCCTGAGTTTCCAAAAGATTATGTCCACAACTTATACCTTTCACCTTGACAGAACAGGGATGTCCCCTGAGGAATGTCTACTTCTATATGTCTACTACTGCTGTAATCCTAATCCATACTAATAATCGTTTCTTTATCCTGTCTTTATGGATTGAATTCTGTCCCTCTAAAAAGATATGGTGAAGTTCTAACCCCGGGTATATGTGAAAACGACTTTGTTTGCAAATATCTATTGCTGTCAAGTCGATTTGTACTCATAGTGACACTTCAGGACAGAGTAGAACTCCAGAGCATTTCCAAGGCTGTAATCTTTAGAGATGCACAGTGCCACATCTTTCTCCCACAGAGTGGCTGATGGGTTCAAACCACTAACCTTTTGGTTAGCAGCCAAGTGCTGCCACCAGGACAGAGTCTTTGAAGGTATTATCAGTTAACATGAAGTCATACTGGAGAAGGGTAGGTCATAAGCCTATATGACTAGTATCCTTATAAAAGAGGAGAAGATACACAGAAACAGAAGGTGGGAAGACAGTTATGTGACGATGCATCTACAACCCAGGGAATGAATGCCTGGTGCTATCAGAAGTAATGCTAGCGAATGAGTGCCTGGTCAGTGGCATCGCTATAGGGGTGCAGGGGGTGCAGACTGCATCAGGTGACACTGTCAGAGGGGGTGACACCAAAATGACTGTCTATAAAATTTTTGTGCAGTGTTTCAGCAGAAATTTAGTATTTTTAATAAAAATATCCCTGTAGTTAGTTATAAGAACAAAAACATTTTTCGTAAGTCCAGCTTACATCTATCAATGTATATACCTACAAGACTAAAACTCTATTCGAATTTACTTTTTGAACCTTCTAATATCCTCCAGTCAGAGCTGTCATTATTACCCACTACAATGATGCTTTCAATCATGTGGTGTGGTCTGCATGCACTATAAATGTGTGCTATTGTTTTCCTTGCTGCTGGTACGTTTACAGCCACTGATTTTGTCAAATTTTCTCGTGTTTTAGCTACAATAGCATGGTAATTAGTATTTGTGAACCTATATCAATAACTTTTTTGAGAATGAAGTAGTAATTAAAAGAAAAGAATAAAAAACATCAAAAAATGTTTCCGCTCAGTTACTTATGTTGTTATTCAATGCAGGAAGATTTTACAAAAGAATTTTGTTGTTAGTGTTCATATAAGAAATATTACATTTAAGAAATTTACAATTATATCACATAATATTCTATGATTAAAATTGATAATAAACTTACATGTATAAGAATTATTGATTATACAACTCTTGGCCATTATATTCAGTAATATACAGGAATTACGATTTACGAGTAACCTTAGCACAAAAAACATTACGAAGGATTCTGTATGGTCTAGTATGGGAGGAGGTCCATGGAGAGGGTGACACCATGAGTTACTGAAATGGGTGAATCCACGCTAGTGATGCCACTGTGCCTGGTGCTATCAGAAGTTGGAAGAGAGAAAGTAGGATCATCACCTACAGACTGTGGCCCTGCTGACAGCCTGGATTTGGGGTTCTAGTCTCCAGAACTCTGAGACAATAAATATCTGTTCTTATAAGCCATCCAGTTTGTGGTATTTTGTTACAGCAGCCTTAGGAAACTAATATACTTGTCTACCCACATGGGACACACACTGCCCTCATCGTAAATAGTCTGCCTCCACTGTGGCCCAGCAGGTGATTCAGGTGAGGCACCCCTGAATCAGGATGTTTGTCTGAGTCAGTTTCCTCTCAGGCCAGCCTAGAAGTGGCTGCCCTGAGTAACGTAGCGGTGATGTGGACAGTGTGGAGAACTCTAGAGAATGCCGGGTCAGGTGGAAGCAGCTGGCAGAAACCCAAACAAGAGCTGGTCAGGTGAGGTTTTAGCCAATCAGAAAAAGGGTTCTAAGCTGACAGGTTTGTTGCCAGTTGAAAAGTCTGTGTGAAGAAGCCTGTGAGATTGGGAAACCCCCAGATCTGAGACAGCCTATACTGCACAGCTCCAAAATAGAACTGAGGGAAATTTCCTCTTTTGCACAGGAGGGAGGGGATGGGCAGAGGCCTCTGTTTTACTCTGAGAGACCCTGGGGTGGGGGCTGAGGGTGTTGAGGGCACCTTCGAGGTCCTTCTTTGACCATTATTCCCTGCCTCTAGCCCCATTCTCAGTCTGAGTTTGATGTTCCTCCTTTATGCTTCCATTGCACCAAGGGAGACCCTCCTCATTCTGGGGTTACCTGGATCCTGAGTACACCACTGTCGGTGGAAGCCAGGTGACAAGTTTTCCTTACCCCTGGAGCTCTAGAGCTATACACCTAGTATGGAATACTGGAATAAATCAATATCTTCATGTGCCACTAAAGCAAACTTGTTGTTGCTTCTTCCTGATTTCTTTTTACCAGGTAAATTCCTCAGTCTCTGCTTTTAGATCCTGTCTTCTATTTTAAAAGAACCTAAAATACAGGAAATAGAGTGAGGGAGGGCTGCAGGGGGACTATCATAAACCACATAGTAGTGCAACTGCAGCTAAAATCCATTTCCCTGCAAGAACTGCTCTTCCCACCACAACTTAAGGCCCCTCAGAGTATCTAAGAGCAGTGGACATCTCTGTGACAGTAATCTTCTCTGCCCTAAAATATGGTCCCTACTTATTTTTCCATACTAAAAACCCCACATATAAGAAGAAGATGTTTTAAGTAACTATCACAGGGATGTCTACTCTTGAAGGACTCTTCCATTTTGGTTACTTAAACCCCTAAAATATTCAATCTCCAGATCCACATAGGCATTTTCTATAATTGTGAGAAACTCTTGACCTCAAGCGTTCCTTTATCCAGTGCAATTTGATGAAGACACAGTGCCAGGCATGGAATTGAGAACCTTCATAGAAAGTGTCTGCCTGGAGACAGATGAGTTACTTCAACTCCAGTGCCGATTGGTTAGTTTCGTTGGGACTCTCCAATCTTAAGGAGCATGGAAGCATTCACAGGTTTTTACTCTCAGAGGTGCGTATATCAGATCCCTCGTATGTGTGTGAGCTGTGTTGACTACCATTACTCATTTTCCCTTGTTCTCAATTATGTCTGAGAAGATGGCTCTGCAGATCCCCAGAGGCCTTTGGACAGCAGCTGTGATGGTCATGCTGATGCTGCTGAGCATCCCGAAGGCTGAGGGCAGAGACTCTCCACGTAAGTGCCAGGCAGCTGCTCTTCAGAGCCACCACTGTGGGGAACAGGCTCTGAGGGACCCTTGGGCTGGGATGTGGGGTTGATGATATCTATGATCTGGGAACACAGTCTTTTATTACATATTTCTTATTTGGGGGAAAGAGGGCTATTCTACATTCTTATTTCCACTTTCTAATAATGGGGTGAAGACAATCCCCATCCCAGGGGCTCAAGCCTGGAGATGTTACAAAGGGAAGGAGGAGACAAAGTGTATATGTATACCAGTCACAGGACAAAGTGGGCATGAGGCCATTTTTCACAGTATGATTTCCTCCAAAGAAGAGACAGCAGGATTTGTCATTTCAGAATCCCCTGATTATGAGTTGGGTAATGAAGGGCAATAATGGTCTCTAGTGTCAGTATTTGAGGAAAAACACTGTACATTCCTGACTAGGAGTGTAGGGTTCATGGAGGCAAACTCTTGGTATTTGAGTGAAGTCGACTGGGTGACCACAGACAGGGAGTCTTATCTTCAAGTTTCACTGATTTATGGTCAGAGACTTGAGTGGGTGGGAATCAGAGATCGGAGTCGACGGCGGATTGAATTTAGGAGAAAAGAGACCATATAGAAGGGAAGTAATATATATTGAGTAACCACTCATTTCAAACTCAGGATTAATATCTTCATATAAATTCTCCCTCGATCTTTCTAGCACGTCTATGTGTAGGTATTATGACTCCTTTTACACAGTTATACTTGATATGAATACTCTATTAAGTAACCTGCCCAAGCTAGTAATTGACACAGCTTAACGGGACTCCAGTTTATCTATTTCAAAAGCTTGTGCTCTTCGCATGAATAAAATGTACCTTTCTACAAGAGCGGTCTCTGTCCCTTCTGACCACATGGGAGTGAAGGAACCTCACACTGTGGTTGGGTGGGGGTGGAAGCAACCCAGAGTAACAGAGGCCTGAGAAAGAAGGCACTACGCCCAGGGATCACAGGAATGTGCTTGGCAAGATGAGGACAAGCTTAACGTTAAACTCGAGACCTTTCTTTTGGTCTTCCTCGTCATTCTCTTGAGCTCTCTGGCTTATGTGGATACTTGTTTACCTTTGAGGTTTCCAGGAGTTCTATGGAAAATGGGATTTCATGTGAGAATGTTCTGATCCCTCTAAGTACAGGGACAATATAAATAAACCTGGCTGCCCTCTTTATTCAGTTATAGGTTCATGCAGGGAACCGGGATCCCCGGGCTTGCTCTTATGGATCGGGCTTTGCTCCCTGCCCTCCCTATTTGAAGGCAGACTCTGGAAACCCTCAGAGTTGGGCGGGTGGGGCGGGGGGTGGGGGGATGGCCGCCCTGAGGACCCCGGATTCTGGAGGCGCAGGGCTTGATTGGGTTTGAGACCAGGGAGGAGTCCGCGCCCAAGGCTCCTCCAAAGCGGGAACCTGAGGTCGCGCGGCCCCGTTTTAGGTTTATTCAGTCAAAGTGGCCTTAGCCCCTACAATGCCTGTTCTAGCACCACGGCTGGTGCGTTGGGGCGTCGGGCTGAGGCCGGGCTGAGGCTTGACTGACCAGCCGGTGATTCACCGCAGAGGATTTCGTGGTCCAGGATAAGTTCCTGTGCTACTTCACCAACGGGACGGAGCGGGTGCGGCTTGTGCACAGAGACATCTATAACCGGGAGGAGATCGCGCGCTTCGACAGCGACGTGGGGAACTACGTGGCGCTGACGCCGCTGGGGCGGCCGGACGCCGAGTACTGGAACAGCCAGAAGGACATCCTGGAGGAGAAGCGGGCCTATGTGGACACGGTGTGCAGACACAACTACCGGATTGAGGAGCGCTTCACGGTGCAGCGGCGAGGTGAGCGCCCAGCTTCCGCCCGCGCGGGGCCCACCCTGGGCCGGGGGTTGAGTCTCCAGGAGTCGTTGGGAGCCGCCAGAGGGAGCGAGAGAGGCGGGGTCGGGCCCCGAGGGTGGGGGTGGGGGTGAGGGGCTTGGACGCAGGTCCCAAGACCACAGAGGGGACAGGAAGGTGGGGTGAGTCCTGGGGCAGGGGACCGAGGGGAGACGAGGGAGGAGGACATCAGCAACCCTTGAGTGTCACCTCAGAGGAGGGCAAGGCCTGTCCATCTGATCCCAGCCTGCCTGGTAGTTCTAGTCCTCTGCTATTTTTTCCACTAATTCTGTAAAATCTAGCTTCGTGCCTTACTGTGTGTTTGCCTCCTTGGTTCTTACCTTTGCGTACGCGGTTTCTTTTGCCGAGAATGCCTTCCCTTCTCCCGCTTCTGGTCCTACTGTGAACTATCTCAGAAACGCCTGTCTTCAGAGCTAGTACCTCTGTGAAGCTTAACAAGCTCAGCTTGGTGGAGTCGGGGATGCCGTACAGCTTTTCATGACACTTCATGGCATATATTTTGACTTTTTTAACCCCCCACTTAAAAAAAAAAATATTGTGCTTTAGGTGAAAGTTTGCGGAGCTAATTAGTTTCTCATTAAATAATTAATACAGAAATTGTTTTGTGACATTGGTTGCCAACCCCAGGATGTGACAACACTCCCCTTCTCCACCCAGGCTTCCCTGTTTCCATTCCTCCAGTTTACTTGTCCCTTCATGCCTTCTTGTCTTTGCTTTTGGGCTGGTGTGCCCATTTAGTCTCGTATACATGATTGAAATACGAAGCACATTTCTCATGTGTGTTATTGTTTGCCCCATGGACCCATCTGTTTTTTGGCTGAAGTAAGAACTTCGGGAGTGACTTCAGTACTAAGTTAAAAGGGTGTCCGGGGACCCCGGACTTCTTTTATGAATTTTAATTTCGTTCTACATGTTTCTCCCACTGTGTTCGGCATTCTCTGTTGTGATCCCTGTTAGAGCAGACGATGGTAGTAATCAGGCACCACCTAGTTGTTCTGGCCTAGTTTGGTGGAGGTTGTGGTAGTTGTGGTCCATTAGTCCTTTGGACTAATCTTTTCTTTGTGTCTTTGGCTTTTTTCATTCTCCTTTGTTCCAGCTGGGATGGGACCAGTAGATGTATCTTAAATACCTGCTCCCAGGCTTTTAAGCCCCCAGATACTACTCACCACAGTCAGATGTAGAACATTGTCATTATAAACTATTTTGACTTTTTGCTTTCAACTCATTATTCATTTTAATTCTGTTTTCTTAAGTGGCTATCACTAGTCCTGGAGCTCCTTGAGGGGAAGGACTGTTGAAGGACTGTCTTAATTTACAGTTGTATACCTGGTGTCTGATCCATTGCCTGGCACATAGTATGAGCTCAATAAATGTTAAAGAATGATGAGACTGGAGGGATCCTGGAAGACATGGCCCTGGGACTGTGTGTTAGCCCAAAACTAAAACCATTCCTGAGGCCAACTCTTCAGACAAAGATTAGACTGGACTATGGGACATAAAATGATACTGGTGAAGAGTATGCTTCTTAGCTCAAGTAGATATATGAGACCAAATGGGCAACTCCTGTCCAGAGCCAAGATGAGAAGGCAGAGAGGGTCAGGAGCTGGTTCAATGGACATGGGAAATCCAGGGTGGAAAGGAAAAGTGTACTGTCACAGTATAGGGGAGCAACTAGGGTCACAAAACAATGTACGTATAAATTTTTGTATGTGAGACTAACTTGAAATTGTAAACTTTCACTTAAAACACAACAAAAAAAAAATGTTAGAAAAAATGTTTGTTAAAGAATGAATAATGAATAAATACCCATCCACCTAGGTTCAAGAGAAAACAGATGGCTAAATAAAGCCTTAAGTGCTGATTTCATTAATTATTCTTTACTATTTTGCTTAACATTTTACATTTTAAAATAAACTCTTATTGATGTGGATCCAAAGAATTTAGAATTTGTGAATGTACAGTCTGAGGAAAAAAGTCTTTACTAAGAATAAAAATAGCACTTCAGGGGTGTTGGAAGGCAGATTTTTACTTTCTTAGAAAAGCTCCAACAAGTGGTATAATGGAGAGGTGGAGCCTTGGAGTAAATAAATCCAAATCATTACATTATTGAATAAAAATTGCTACAGGTTCCCTTGGCCTAGGCCTCCCCTCTTTCCCCCTGACATCACCATCTACCTCAGGGGAAGAAATTCTGAAAGATAAGCATACCCATTTTATAAGTACCTATTCTAGACAATTACCTTACTAAACACTATCTATATTATGTTATTTAATTTCATAACTACCTTGTGAGCTGGGATTAGTATCGCCACTTATGGATGCTGATATTGGTACATAACACTCTCTTGCCTGTTTCTGGCCCACATTCTAATGCCACCTGGCACTTATATTTTTGTTATTTCAGTTCTTTTCCATTAAAATTATCTTAACAGTTTTCTTTGAACTTGTGTCCTGTATTTTTACTCCCAATCTGTTTTAGGTGAACAGACAGTAGGAGTCCACATAGTCGGCCATGATTTCTCACGTTACATTCTCATTAGCCCAGGACAACCTCTGCAAGAGCCTCAGAATATTTTCTGATTTCAGAACATAGAAGTAATTCTTAATAGCAAGGGGATAGGATAGGGTACCAAAAACCAAACCTGTGGCCGCTGAGTTGATTCCGACTCATAGTGACCTACAGGACAGAGGAGAACTGCCCCATAGGGTTTCCAAGGAGTGGCTGGTAGATCCGAACTGCTGACCAGTCAGCAGCAGAGCTCTTAACCAGTATACTACCAGGGCCTCTAGGATGGGGTACCTGTTGCAGTCCAGTGGATTCCGGCTCATAACAACAGGATAACACGTTGCCGTTGAGTCGATAGGCAGCTAATAATTAAACTCACTTGAATTTTAATAAGAAAATTAGGGAATATACTATATCACCAAGTAAATAAAGCATATATTAAATATTTACTATAGCTTCACACCAAAAGGAGACCTGGTGGTGCAGTGGTTAAAGCACTGGGTCAGCAGCTGAAACCCACCAGCCGCTCCGCAGGAGAAAGAGGTGGCAGTCAGCTTCCGTAAAGATTTACAGCCTTGGAAACCCTGTGGGGCAGTTCTCCTCTGTCCTGTAGGGTTGCTATGAGTCAGATTTGACTCAACAGCAGCGGGTTTGGTTTGGTTTTTGTTTTTCACAACAAAGGACTAAAGAGGTACAATAAAATATTTTGAGAGGTAAATACGTAGGGAAAGGTGTGTCATATTTGATAATGAATAGCAGTCTGAGAAGATAAAGGACTTGAGGAATGGACAAGCATGACGTTTTATCAGTGTTATTTATTTTCAGAGGTCCCCAACTTTTCCTTCAGAACATCCAAACTTTTGAAGTAGTATATTAATTTGTCTGTCTCTGTAATTAGATCTCAAGTTCTACAAAAGCAGGGACCGTAGTCTGTTGTTACCTTTGGATTCCTAGTGCTTGTCAAATACATATTTGCTGAATGAAGTAATAAATAATGAATGAATAAAATAACATATAGGTGGCATTTCTGATGTGGAGATGGAAGATTATGGATTTAGTAATACAATTTTTTTCAGGGGAGTTCACCATAGACGGTGTGTGAGCTAAGGTTAGGCTGAAAGTTGAAAGGGATGCAGTGTTGACTGGCAACACTTAAGAAGCTCTTGTTCTCAAATTTTGCTGATATTACAGGCTGAGAGTTACAGAATAGAGCCTGCTTGAGAAGCATTGCTCTGTGGAAGGCTACAATGGTCCCTGTTGTTCTCCTGTTGACCAGACATAGAAATGTCTGTACATTCTTAATTGTCAGTCCATGGTACTATTCATGGGGCCACGGCCAGTGTTGATGGTCTTGCACCAGCAGATGAAAGTCTTATTGTTGTTGCTGTTGAGTGTTGTGGAATTGTTTTCAATTCATAGCAACTGCATGTGACAGAGTAGACCTGCCCCATAGGGTTATCTTCGCTGTAATCTTTATGGAAGCAGATTACCAGGTCTTTCTCCAGTGGAGCCACTGGGTGGCTTCAACTTTTTAGTTAGCAGCAGAGCACTTCTAAGCTGTTGTATTTTCTCTACTGTGGGGAGCAGCAGGACTAACAGAAAACAGTGTCACAATCCTAGAATGACTTACCAGCGACAGCCCTGATGATGACCTTCAGTAAACCCAAATACCAAACCCATTGCCATCAAATCAATCCCAGCTCCTGGCGACCTCATGCGTTACAGAGTAGAACTGCTCCATAGGGTTTTCTTGGCTATAATCTTTACAGAAGCAGATCACCAGACATTTCTTTCGTGGTTGTGCTGGGTGGGTTCGAACCACCAACCTCTAGTTCAGCAGCCGATGGCAAACTGCTTGCACCACCCAGAGACCTCAATAGGCATGGAAACAAAAGAGTCCAGGTTTATAATTGTTATTATTTTTAATTGTATGAATATTGACCTGTGTACTGTAGTACTTTATAACTCCAGAACGCTTCAATTTTATCAACAGAGTAACTTCCATAGAATGGTTATTATTTTTTGAGCCTCTGAAAAACAAACTGACTAATGGGTGATATCCAGCTAATAAGTGGAGGAGCTCAGATTCTAATCCAAGACTTGGAATCCAGGAATCTTTCTCCATTGGTACCAATGAGAGTCTTATCCCCTGGAGAGACTGGCTATGTGGTCTCACGTCTCACTCACTGTGCTTTTTTCTGTCTGTTACTTCCCTCAGTGGAGCCTGAAGTGACCATCTCTCTGGCCAAGACAGAGACCCTAAACCACCACAACCTGCTGATCTGCTCAGTGACAGATTTCTATCCAGGCCAAGTCAAAGTCCGGTGGTTTCGGAATGACCAGGAGGAAACAGCTGGCGTTGTGTCCACTCCCCTTATTAGGAATGGGGACTGGACCTTCCAGATCCTTGTGATGCTGGAAATGACTCCCCAGCGTGGAGATGTCTACACCTGCCGTGTAGAGCACCCCAGCCTCCGGAGCCCCATCACAGTGGAGTGGCGTAAGAGGCAGTTCGTTTCCTTTCACTGTGGGATCCACAAGACAGAGGGCAGAGCTCCCTCTTGCCCATCCCATCCCCTCTTATCCTGATGGCACTACTGAGCTGGGAATCACAGGAGATTAGAGCATCTCTTACTCCATGGCAAGAGCATCCAGAGAATCCTGATCTCACTGTCCTTCCAGGTGCACACTGTGGTCCTGGAACCCAGCCCTGATACTGCTTGGGATTTGAGTATTAAGGGTGGTTACTGTGATCTTAGGATCTAAGGTTATGGCTGTATCCCCGAGGAGCAAAGATTTGCTTCCCTCCTTCCCTCTCAACTGCCCACTGTGCCAAGGATCTATGGGCTGGTCCTTCCCTCCCCCAGGTATGGTCACAAGTGGAGAACTAGGCTCCCCTGGCACCTCCGTCTCCTGTACCATTTTCTCTTTTTTTGTTACTTCTCAAATTGGACACTATGGGATGTAAGGAAGGACAGACGTTAACACTCAGGTTTCTGCTCCCCAGGCGCGCAGTCTGAATCTGCCCAGAGCAAGATGCTGAGTGGTGTCGGAGGCTTTGTGCTGGGGCTGATCTTCCTTGGGCTGGGCCTTATCATCCATCATAGGAACCAGAAAGGTAAGGAGCTCTGGCGGGAACCAGGGAAGATAGCCTGTTCCTGAGACCCTGTTTTCAGGGAGGCCTCTGCCTTAGGTGTCACTCTTGTTCTTGATCCCGAAAGGAAAGAGGCTGGGCTGGTGGTGGAGAGAGATGGAGAACTCAGGGAGAGACATTGGAATCTGAGTTTACTAGTTGAAAGGTAGCTCCACCACAAATCTCACTGGTGGGGTTTATCCCAGGACTTCCTTACAGTTTGTCATTGTCTCACTGGCTCCTCTCTGAAAGCTTCCTCTATTAAGATGGTCAGAGCCTCAGCTTCCTTCTAGTGACAGCTTCTTTCACTTTAAGGGTTTTAGCTTAAGGCAGTTAATACCTCATGGTAAATGGGTCGGGGAGAGAATGTTACTCCCCAATATCATTTGGGGTGAGTGAGAGATTTTTTTCTTTTTTTTTGGTAATAAGACCTTTCTCTGTAACTTTCTTTTTGTAGGACCTCATGGAACTCCACCAACAGGTAACAAGTCTGCTCTGATCCAGTTGGGGGCAGGGAAGGAGGTATAAGAGGGAAGGGCATGCGGTGAGTGTGCCTGGGCTCAGTGGTCTAGGTTCATGATTCCCTGCTACAGGGATCAAGAGTTAGGATAGAAGTTTACCCAGTTTCTATAGGAAGCTCCAAATGTTGGTCCTTAGAACCAGGTCATAACTTTGGTGACTTTTTAAATGAAACTTGGAGCCAGAGTCCTATCTCAGGTGTTAAACACCAGAGTGATGCCCAATCTGTGCCATATATTGATGGCTACTGACCTTAGGCATTTACCAGTGACTGAAAGAGGCTACTGGTGGTGAACAGAAGGTGAGTTATTATCCAATTTGCTAAAAAGATTGAAACAATTATTTCCTAACCCTTCATATTCCCTGGAAGGGTAACAGCTGCCCCCCACACCTGCCTCTAACCCATCTCCTTAACCTGAAGTTCTGTGTTCACTTTAACTGATTTCCCCTTTACACAGATATTGGGGGAGGTATTGATGATATACCCTGGACCTAAGCTCTCTCTGCCTGATGCTGCAGGGACACTAAGGGAGGGCAAAAGGCATGTGTCCCTCAGGGAGCTTTGTTCTCATCATTCTCCCTCTGTCTTCTGCAGGGCTCCTGCACTGACTCCTGAGGATATTTTGACTGGGATTGCTTCTTGTTCTTCTGTAATGTCTGCCTCATCATTGCTCAGAGTCCTAGCCGCCTGAGTCTGCCTGGTCCCCCTAGGAGATCTGAGTCCTTCAGTGGTTCTGGCACAGCTGCCAGGTCACCTCCTATGACCCTTGCCCCAGGGACCTTGCTGTGTGCACTGACCCAGGAGCCTCTGCCCTGTGTGCTGCCAGCTACATCTCTGCAGACCCCATGGACTTTTCTGTTTCTGTTCCCCCCACAGACGGCTCAAGAGATACACAGTGAACCCATTTAACCCATTAAGCTTTTTTCACAATTAAACATAATTATGAATTATCTGTACTCTGAACTTCTTTAACTGGGCAGAGGCAGAAAACTACTGTAGGATGAAGGGAGCATATTGTGATGTGACCCATACCATTGCTGTTGAGTCGATTCTGACTCCTGGTGACCCTATGCGACAGAGTAGAACTGCCCCATAGGGTTTCCAAGGAGAGGCTGGTGGATTCGAACTGCTGACCTTTTGGATAGCAGCCAGCCTGTTAACCACTGTACCACCAGGGTACTGTGAGGTGACCCAGCCAACCTCAAAACCTGTTGCCAGAAGAAGGAGCTGCTTCTTGAAAGGAGGCTAGAAGCATCATGAGTGCCTTGTAAGGGTGGGCAGAGGACATAGAAAAGCAATTCAATATTTCTGTCCTTCATGGTTCTTTAGAATCAATGTTCAGTGCAATGGCTTTAGGGTATCCTGGCCTCCCTTCCACTGTGGTGAGTATTGTGCAAGTAAGCATGGTGGAATTGTTTGCAGGAAGATAGAGAGACTTCTGGTGTCACAGAGAACCAGACCAATGTTTCAGATATATCCTGGGAAGTCACATTGATCAAGGCCTATTTTTATTTTTGAAAAGTATAACCAGCAATAAGAATCTAATTCTTGATTCGGAATGATAAAAACCCAAGTCAAACTTATTTTGGTCACATAACAAGAAAGTCTAGGGATCACAGTGATTTCAGAAATGACTAGACCCAGGTATTCAGTGCAGTCTTCATCTCCTTTCTTTCTGCTGTGTCTCTATCTGTACACCTTTCTCTCTTTCTCCATGTCTCTCTTTGTCCTTGTATAATTCTCTAGTGTATCCCTGGATCTTTTTATATATCTCTCTCTGTCTCTGCACCTTTCTTAGTATTTTCTGCCTCTCTTTATCTCTGTGTTTCTTTTTACATCTCTCTGTATTTTCTCTATCTCTGTTTCTCATCACCTTACATCTTATCCTTGCTTCTGTGTGCATGTATCTTGTCTCTGCTGTGTGTCTCCAGAGTGTCTACCAGGGTTTGCACAGTTTTAAGGAAGATTCTGATTGGTCAAGTCTGGGTCACATTCACATCTCTCAAAAACATCACCCAGTACGTGGAATGCAGACAGCTGGCCTTATGTCCCCAGCCCATATTGGTAACGGGGACTGGACTTTCCAGATCCTCATGATGCAGAAATGACTCCCCAGCATGGGGATGTCTACTCCTGCTGCATGGGGCACCCCAGTCTCCGAAGCTCTCTCGCAGTGGAGTGGCATAAGGTGCAATTTGTTTCCTTTCACTGTGGGTCCCACAAGACAGGCAGAGTTCCCTCTGGTTCTAGAGTCCCTCATTAGGAGTGCTGAGTTACACTCAAACTATCCCTTGTTTCCTACACCATCATCTGATTGTGTAGGAATCCTCAGGGAACAGAGCTCGTCTTGTCTGTGGACATATTGACGTGTTGATTTCTGAGGACATTCTGTTCCCAGTTAGGAGTTCACACTACATACCATGGCTCCTTTGACATAGACCCAGCCCTGAAAGCTAGTCTGCAGCTCAGCCTCTGAATTTCCCTGTTAAGATAGGTGGGTGGAAGTCTATCTCTGAGGTTATGGAAGGACATGCTTCTGAGGAGCAGTCATCTTCCTCCTCTCTTTTCCTTCACCTACCCACTGGGCCTGAGGAGCCGTTGACAGGTCCTTCTTTCTCATGGAGGAGGTCAGAATAGAGAACTAGATTTCCTTGTGACTTTCATCTCCACAGGCTGCACTGGAGGTCATTACACAGGGACATTGTAGTTGTGGGAGCAGATATTGATACTTGAGCTTCTGCTCGCCAAGGTCATAATCTGAATTTTCCCAGAGCAAGATGCTGAGTGGAGTCAGAGGTTTTGTGCTGTAGTCTATCTTCCTTAGAGTGGGTGTTGTCATCCACCACAGGAGTCAAAAGGGTGCAACACTCTTCAGGGAATGGGGAGGATTTATACTGGATTGTCCAGGGAGCCCTCTGTCCTTAGATGTAGCTCTTTGCCTTTGACCCTGCAATGGAAGAGGGCGGGGATGGGGAATGAATCAGACACAGAATTTAGAGTGACATTGAGGTCTCATTTTCCTAGTTGAAATGTAAGTACTCTCATAGGGTGAATGGTAGAGTATATTTTAGGACAGTCTTTGTTCAACATTGTCACACTTGATCCATCCCAGAAGACTCCCTCTTAATTAGACAATCAGATTCACTTCTTCCCTTCCTTCCAGTGACAGTTTCATAGAAACAACAATTTGTACACCCATATTTCAGTGGTTAATGCAATCTTAAATTGATAATAAAATTAAAATAACAAGTACTGCATTTCCGAACAAGTTTGCTAACAAAAACATCTAAGTTTTATCAGGTATACAACTTGGAGATAAGTGTATGGGTGTACTAGAGAATAGCTTACAGTAATTGCAGAGACAGTGCTACAGCAAACCTGGAAGCCATTGCTGAGGTGATGGTATACAAGATGTTGGAAAGTTCATGACCTAACTCAGTTGAATGGCTGTAGAATAGAGCCCTTTTTATTGAGGTAAACCACTGAAATTTAATTTTTACTGAAGTTGTATGTGTTATTGCAACACAACTTTGCCTTTCTTGACTAGGATAAAGTGTTTAGCTAAATGAAGAGATTTCATAAGTTGAGTTAATGGAAGTTAAGAGACTGTGTATTCTTCTGAACATTTGTTTATTTTCTTCCATCTATATATATGTATTTCCAATGACTAGAACAGTGCTTCTTTAGTGGCTACTGTCCTGTTTCACATAGAATTTCCCCTCTAGGACTGAAGAATTTATTCCCTTAGTTGCAGAATGTTGCTGGCTGACAGCTCAGGGAATTGCCTTAGCTGAAGAGAGCTGTCTCACCCAATTTTACCTCACTTCCCAGGGGCATCTTACTTCCAGTGACTGGTCAATGATCCTGAACCCTTGCCCTA